GGAGAGACAAGATGAGAGACAAGAGGAGAGACAAGACGAGAGACAAGATGAGAGACAAGATGAGAGACAAGAGGAGAGACAAGAGGAGAGACAAGATGAGAGACAAGATGAGAGACAAGATGAGAGACAAGAGGAGAGACAAGATGAGAGACAAGAGGAGAGACAAGAGGAGAGACAAGACGAGAGACATGCATTGTCGCTTTGACTCAACTTTTGTTCACGATTTATTTTCTTCTTCAGATGGATTTTTTCACAAGAACTGGTTCCTCTGACAAGAAGAAAAAGGGTGAAAAAGCCAAGTCCAAGAAAGGTTCTTCAAAGGATCAAGGTCATATTGACTATTTTGTTTCATCGTCTTAACTCGCCTCCATGTAGGAAGTGCTGAAGGGATCGCCAGCTTCTTGCAGTCTCTCGGAAACTCAATTTCTGGTTCTGTCGGAAATGGATCGATACGGGCCAAAAGCATCAACAAGAACCAGGAGGCGAGCAGAGCAAGCACCAAGTCCAAGCGAGGAGCCAAGAGCAAAGTGGCTCGAAGTGGGATCGTGGCCAAGAGCGGGATAAACGCGGGCAATCAATTCAGCAGGGAGAATGTGCTTATGGAATATCGGTCGGCTACTCTAGGTACTCAGCTGACTGAGGCGCTTGCCGACGACACGCTGGCGGATGTGACTTTCATTGTCGGCCCCGAGAGAAAAGTAGTGAAGGGTTTGAGGATTGTGATTGCAGCAAGAAACAAGTTCTTCAAGAGCATGCTCTATGAATCGAAGATGGAAGATGGTCAGAACGAAAGCAAGCTGCTGTTGTTCTCCTGTCCTGCCCTGCCCCTGTCCTGTCCCTGTCCTATTACCTCTCCTGTCCTCTCACTTCCTCCTTTCCACGTCTGATGCCTTGCAGGATCTTTGCAAGCCACGTTTGAGCTACCAAGCGCACACGCCGTTTCCTTTGACTTGATGATGAAGTTCATCCATGCCGGCGGCATCTCGTGGGAGCCGCACCAGACTGTTCAGCTGCTGGAAGTTTCCATCGACTTCCAAGTCGAGGAATTGGTACATAGACCCACTCCCACTCTCTCTCCCAGTTCCTCCCAGTTCCTCGTCCTTCAAACCTCCTGCCGCCCTCTTCTGCTTGGTTGCCTTCTCCTGAATTTTTTTCGGCTTACTCATCTTCTCTAAGATGAAGAAATGCATGGAGCTTGTCTCTGAATCCATGACGGACAATCTTTCACTTGCAGAACTTACCAAGTTGATTCAAATACTTCTTCGAGGTTTAGCTACATTACCCTGTCTCCCTCCGATTTCCCCTTCTTCCTTCCTTCCCTCCCCTCCCTTCTCTGCTCTCACTTATCGGAGGCGATGCAGGTGAGGGGTTCGATGTGAATCTGCAGCATCCTAAGACGGGGACTTCTGCTCTTCACGTCGCCTCCCGTGAGGTGATGCACTTGGTTGATGTCGTTCTTCTATCCCCTTGTAGTCTGACAACTTCATGTTCCTGCCGTGTCTGTTGCTGCATTCCCTCGCCCGATTTTCTGTGCATTCCTCGTCTGCATATGATGGTTTGCCGATAGGGAGGCGTTGAACTCGTGATCGATCTCCTTTCTCGAGGCGCCAACTTGAATTGGACAGACATTCATGGAGCTACGGGTGACAGAATTCTCGTCTTGTTACCCCTCATCCCATGACATCATTGTTTTTCTTCATTGCCCGCTTCTTCTCCCTTCGCACCTTTTGCACCTAATTCCTCTCGCAGCCATGCATCTGGCGCGTAACGCAGAGGTCGCACAACTTCTGATCAACGCCAAGGCGGATGTGTTTGCAGCAGACAAAGGAGGTGACACAAGATGCAGGGGCTTGAGTACACGACTGAACTGCTGCAGGCAACCCTCCTCTCGTCTACTCCATCGTGCACAAGCGCAAGGATGTTGCGGAGCTTCTTCTCGTGAGCTTCTTCCTGCTTGTTCTTGTATCCACCAGCCGCTCCCAGGCTATGAACTGCGGCGAAGCTCTCTTCCGGTCGGTACAGGAAAAGAACGACACCATCAGCAGGAAGCTCAACAAGGGGCGGGTGACGCCCATCACTGAGGTTTTCCTGCCGTCATTGACGCGCGACTAACGAGGAGGAAGGTCAAGACAAGCCCGACGATGGAGGCGCTGTTGAAAGTGATCGAGCAAGAGGCAGAGCTCTACCCGCTGATGATCTCTCCTCCCTCCCTCATCGAGGTCGCCCGCGCAGGAAGCACATGGGGCACCAAGTCAGCGCTCGCGCGAGACGAGGACGTAAACCAACGAGACGACAGGTGAGCAGTGGAGGTGGGGGGGAAGGCGAAGGAAGAACGATACTGTTGCCTGCCACTAACTTTTCTCAAGGGAAGCTGCCAAGCTTTCTCTACCAGGTTACACAGCCTTGCACTGGGCAGCAGCGATGGGACATTTCGGAGTGATCCAGGTGAAGAGCAGAAAGAGGAGAGGAGGAGAGACAAGCTGCAGATTCTCATCCTCATCACAGTGCCTTCTGTCTTCTGACGACATCGAAATCAATCCTACCGACACAGAAGAGGAGGACGGCTACACGCCGCTGCAGCTCTGCATCAATTACAGACAGCGTCAGTGGGAGGCGTGCGCGGCGCTCATGAGAGCCCATGGAGCAAAGGAACGAGCAAGCTTTGAGTCTGACGAGGACGAGGACGAGGACGAGGAGATGGAGGGAGCAAGCATGAGCAAGACAAGCATCAACAGAGGAAAGACAAGCGGAAGCTCTGCCCCCACCACCGCTTTTTTCTCTCGTGTCTTCAACAACAGAATCACATCTGCAGTCTCCAAGATTGTCGCCCGCCCTTCGACCAGGTGCCGGCCCTGTCTCTCTCCTCTCTTCCAGCCCCCTTCCTTCACACACACACTTCTCTCTCACCTTCCTGGCCCCCTACTGAGCATGGCCTTGCAGTGCCTCCAAGAAGTGGCAGAGTTCGAAGCGGCAGGGAGGGAGTCGCAAGGTGAGGTCCTCGCATTCCTCTTCCAAGAATTCCTCGAGGAAGTGAAGGAGCTTGTGGTTGGGTGTGGCTCTTCTCGTGTACAATACAGTTCCAGTGCTTTATAGCGCGTTATGTTCTCTCCCGTTGGAATAATGGGACTCTGCCGTATCCTCTCAGCTTGCTAAACCTAGACGCCTTCCCGGTGATTCTTCCATCTCCCTCCCCATCACTTCTCTTCCGGCTCTCTAACCCTGCTATTCTCCCCTCCATCTTCACCTGTGGCTTGTGCTGCAACTTGCTCGCTAACGACTCTGTCATCCTTCTCGAGCTCTCGACATTTCTTGACCATACCGGAAGGGGTTTCTCTGCTTGTCCCTCGTCCCCCTGCATCCGACGGCCTGGTGGCTTTCGACGCGTCCGTGCACACGCTGTACATCACTTTGTCCGGCACGATACCGTGCAGCTTTGCCTCCTCCAGGAGTGAAGCTGCTTCCCGTCCCCTTCCCTTGGCGGACAAAGCAGAGATGATGGAAGTGTAGACAAACTTGGTCTTGTAGGACTCGCTGAGGGAGAGAAAGAGCCCTAGCGCCAAGTCGACCGCTTCCTCGCTCCCGTCTTTGCGCGCTGCGTTGAAGATCAAGATGTACAAAAAGGAGGTTGGGATGTGCCCAGCCCCTTGCAGCTCCGCCAACAAGTCCAGCGCCACCCAGAAGCCACGACGAGTGCAGTTGGCTCTACCTGCTCGAGAAAGTCAAAGTGGACCGTAAAGGCACAGGGAGGGCGGATACGGACCTGCCATGCTGGAGCACACTTCCATCAAACTGGTGTAGCACTCCAAACAAGGAACGAGCCCTCTGTTCCTCATGTCTTCAAGAAGTTTCAAAGATGATTCAAGCCAATCCCTATGATCAATTCTGTCAAAGAAAACTTTCCGCTCATTTTCCAGCTCTCACCTGTTGGATAGCCTGGCGCTCGACTTGGCATAGATCAAGAGCATCATCCTGAAGTTTGAAAGCTGTGGCGCAACACCTTCTTCATCCATTTTCCAAAGAATCTCCTCAGCTGATTCGATGATCAAATTCAACTGCATTGTTTTCACACAATAAAGAAACAGACAAGATGCGCTAGTTTCACCTGCTTGGGATCGATGGTATTACCTCTCTGCTTGTTCGAAGGTTGATTCAGCACAATGAATTGAATCCCCCGAGCAAGCCCGTGCAGGACAGTAGAGAAAGTCTTCTGGTCGGGCTTGACTCCTCTTGCTAACATCTCCTTGAAAGCTGCGACCATTCCCTGCAGCATTTCGATTGCATCTTCCCCGCTAGAGCAGGCAGCAAGGCCACTGGCGTGCATCAGGGCGTTGTAAGTGATGACTGACGGCTTTAAGTTGTCTGTTGCTTGCATCAAAGAGAAGATGTGCTGCGCGAGGTCCACTGCTCTTCTTCCAAGGTGTTGAGCGCTCTTAGCACAAACATGCAGGAGCGCGTTATAAGTGACCATATCCGGCTCGAGCTCATCCTCGCGGATAAGCTTGAGGATCTCGATGGCCCTCTCTAAACCCCTCTCATTCTGCTGGGAGCAAGCAGCAATGAGAGAGTTGTAAGTGTACATGTCCAGCTTCATCCCGGCCCTGCGCATCCCTTGCGTGAGGTCGAACGCTTCAATGTACGCTTCAGAGATGTTTTTGGAAGACTAGATTTCTCGTTAGTTCGCAACTGCCATGAAAGTATTCTCATCTCACCTTAAGCATTTTGTTGACCAACTGGTTCGTGAGGAGAAGGTCAGGCATCAGCCCAACGCTGTACATGTTTCGGATTATGGTCAGCGAACACCTAATCGCAACTCTGTTTCCTTGCAGAGCCGCACCTGCGTCGTCAGTCAGATCGTCTGCTCTCTCCTTATGCCTTTGCATGACTTGACTCACCCACAGACGCCTCGAGGAGGAGACAGAAGCTTCGGCGATCCGGAGATACTTGAGCCGAATTCATCAGAGCGAGGATGCAGAGCGCGCGTTGGAGGGCAGCGGAGCCGAGACCCTTGGAAACCGCCCTCGAACAGAGAAGGAGGGCTCGGTTGAAAGATGTTAGATCAGGCGTGTATCCCTCTTCCACAGCCATGGCAAGGCGCGCAAATTCTGACTCCATCTCGCCATCCCTCCATCCCATCTTATGCGGCCTCGCTTCATCGCCGATGCCTGCTCCCTCCATTGCAATCTTTGTCAGCTCCGGCTCCCCCTTTGGCTCGTTGTTTGCCAACGAGAAGGAGGTCGGCTGCAAGCTCGTGGGAGAACTGGATGCTGTTTGAAGAATCTGCATAAGCTTTGAAGAAGAGCACGGCTCTCTTGCCATCCGAACTTCAATTTCTCCTCGAGGGCGTGACTGTCTGGGATATACCAATTGCAAGCGCGAGCCAAGGAGAGCAGAGCAAGAGCAGTATGCATGCTCGAGTGGCAATCGTATGGGCGTCAGAACGACACCATTGGTAGGCATCCAAGCGAAGGCTGGCGACGAATGACGGCTTACATCCACACTGGAGCTCCAACCTTGAGCAACAAGGATGAGCAGGAAAGTAACTCTACACATTAGGTACAATACAGTAGCAGCTGCTGCTCAAGGGACACCCTGAAAAGTTTCAAACAACACTGTCGTCTTCAAAATCAATGCACATCAACTCCATGCACCGGCATAATGTTGTCTGAAATCGTCTCCACAAAACTTGATCGTCAATCAAATCCTCTTATGCCCTCATCTTCTTGAACAAAGCGTCTCTTGCTACCATTGCAAGACATTTCTTCTTCTCTTCTCAAACTTGACAGAATGGTTGACGACTTCAATGCCCATACCTCCATTGTCCTCAAATAATAATAAAATGCTGATCATGCACCACACCCTGAGTATAAGAATGTCGAACAGGGTCATTGATGCTATAATCAATTCGAAAATGTCAGAAATTATTTGAAAAAGTCAGAAAATAATATCAAATATAAATCAAATCCTATTATAGACTATGAAAAGGAGTCGGATTGGACGCTGCACAGAAAAAATTACACCTTCCTTTAAACACTTCGTAGGGGTAGGGTACCCCCCAAATCCTCTACTACCCCTCAGTTCAACAACAACTACTACTATTTTAAGTGACCCCCTTCTTTATAGACAGAAGAGGGGTCCTACCATAGAACAACAACCTAGAGGCAGGGTGGTCCATGCAAGGTGGCCGGGTGGATACAAGCAATCCGATCCCCGGTCACGGTCGACGTGACGGAATTCAAGGACTGGATCTCGCAGGGCACTTTTTTCAAATTTTACCAAAAAAGAGAATCCTAAGCTTTTTTTGGAGGCGCCCTACATCTTGGGATAAAAAAAAATTGCGAGCGAGCGATGGTGAATGTGTAAATGGGTGGATGCGAGAGGGAAGGAGGGAGAGCTGCCACGGGGGTAGAACTACGAAGACGAATTTATGCTAAAGAACAAGCGAAGACGAATTTATGCTAAATCAGCACAATGGGATGGAGGCCTCAATGGTAACATGCCCGGGTTTCGGGGATTACGTGACATTGCTGGTTGCAAGTCGAAAAAGAGGTATACGAAAAGTAGAAAACATTAAAAAGAGCGATAGTGACATCCGAATCATTGGTATCATGAGATAGAACTCACATTTCTCTGATAGACTGTGAGGTTTTGACAATTGTCATCATCGCGCTTTTTGCTTTAATCATCCTTAAACCTGGTCGCGGCCTGGCTGCCATTGCGATTTCCTGCAAACTTACCCACCCCCTCCCCATCAACATACCCTCTATCATTGAGGGAAAGACACCGGTCCTAGACCCTTTTATCGCGAGTTCCACCCCCGTGCCCCCGTGGAGGGAGAGCGAGCGAGCGAGTGAGAGAAAAACTGAGAGACAGAGACAGAGACAGAGACAGAGACAGAGACAGAGGCAGAGACAGAGACAGAGACAGAGACAGAGACAGAGACAGAGACAGAGACAGAGACAGAGACAGAGACAGAGACAGAGACAGAGACAGAGACAGAGACAGAGACAGAGACAGAGATAGAGACAGAGGCAGAGACAGAGGCAGAGGCAGAGGCAGAGATAGAGGCAGAGGCAGAGGCAGAGATAGAGATAGAGGCAGAGGCAGAGGCAGAGGCAGAGGCAGAGGCAGAGGCAGAGGCAGAGGCAGAGGCAGAGGCAGAGGCAGAGGCAGAGGCAGAGGCAGAGGCAGAGGCAGAGGCAGAGGCAGAGGCAGAGGCAGAGGCAGAGGCAGATGGGAATACAGGCAACCTCCACGTCAAACAAGCCTTCTTGTCAAGCCTAAGTTTGCTCTTTGCCAGCAGGGGGGAAAGTGCGTCTTGGGTGCCATGTCGCTCGTGTCGCCTCTTGGATTCCTTTGGTTGAGCTCAATTATCATTTCGAGCTCAGAGGTAGGCATAATCCTCAGTGCTAGATAAAAGCTTTTTGAACTTGTGTTGTTACTGCAGGGATTGTGTTGCCTTCAGTGGACTCGGTTCGATCGCGAGCAGAGTGCTGTTTGTCAGCGCTCTTGTCTTGGGATACGGGGAGGAAATGATGGCGGAGATGAGAAGAACGCTTCTGTTCAAGAGGGAGCTCCACACATGTTGAGTGTCTATGACATAGCCATTGACGCTGCAGATAAGAATGGCAAAAAATCAAGAAAACAATTCACAAATGCCGTCATGCAGGGGAGCTCCAACATTCTTGATCTCGAGATTCTGACAAAGCAGGACGAAGGGATCGAGGGGGTGCAATCAGAAATCGAGGGAGAACAACAAGAGATGAAAATTGAAGAGATCGGAGATGTACAACAAGAGATCAAAGGTGTACAACAAGATATCAAAGTTGTACAAAAAGAGATCAAAGGTGTACAAAAAGAGATCACAGATGTGTTGAGAAGGATGCAAGATCAAAATGACCAAATGCTGAAGGAGGTCCACATGCAGCTTGTGCAGCAGCTTGTAGCGTACCAGCAGCAGCTTGTAGCGTACCAGCAGCAGCTTGTAGAGGACAAGAAGCAGCTTGTAGCGTACCAGCAGCGGCTTTTAGACAGGGAGAAGCTGCTCTTGGACAAGGATAAGCAGGTTGAGAGGCTTATTCCACGTCCTGTGCAACTTAGAGACAGTGTGTCAAGACCTGAAGGTGAAACAGAATTGAATGTGGCTATCATGGGTACTAACAGGACTTATGCTAGTTGGCATGCTAAGTTTCTTGAAAGAGCTCTGGACTACCGCATGCGCAGGAAAGGTTTTACGGGCTAATGAATACGTCAGCTTCTCCGCATGCTTAGGAGGCCACGAGACACTTGGAAACAAGCTCTTCATACGAGAGTGCTACTTCGAGATGAGGCGGAAAATTGCAGAGGATTTCAAGTTGGACCCAGAGACGCTAGAGGGCATGGACACCAATCAAGGATGCCATCAAGTGATCCTCACAGGTACTCCAGGGATCGGGAAGTCCTGCTTCGCATACTTCTTACTTCTTCAGCTCCTCCGGCCTGGTGAGGAAGTAGTGTATCAGATAGGGAGTGAATATTGGTACTTTGATGGAGAAGCATGGAACCTGTTCATGGATGGATCCGTAGCGCAACGCTTTCTCCAAATGTTTAGGCGCTGGTATATCTGTGATCTGTACAAAAACCAGGGGAGCTATTCAATGTCACGAACCGCCAAAACAATCATAATCTCTTCACCGAAGTATGGGATGTTCAAGGACATTGTGAATACTGGATCGGCGAAGAGATATTTCTTGCCGTTGTGGTCAGACGATGAGATGTCACTCTTCATCATGATGCAATGGGGGCGTATTGACTCCGATGAAGTGATGAAGATCGTAGAGGATTGGGGCAATGTGCCGAGAAATATCGTCGTGAAACCTTTAGAGACACTTGAGCAGGCTGTTGAAGGAATAGAATCAGTGTCATCACTCAAGAGGAAGATGGATGCAGCAGTGAATGAAGACCTTGGAATGCCATCGAAACTGATTCACCTTTCCCCCAGCACTGACTACAGATCCTTTACCGCTCGAATATGCTCGAAGAAGGCCGAGACGATGATATTTGAGGCCCTTGTGAAAAGGGATTGGGATCATGTTGTCGACTTTGCTTTTTCGAGTCCTAATTCTGGCTATGAGTCAGCAGCAGGTGTAGCTTTTGAACACATTGCGCATGAGGTGCTGAAGGGAGGAGGAAAATACAATCTGCGAAGGCTGGAGAAGGATAAGGGCGATAGAAACGGGTTAAAGAAGCTGAAGTTGAAGAGATCGCAACCGTACATTGAATTTGCATCATCAATCAGAGACTTGGAGGAGTGGGTGATCATGCCGAATGCATACTGTAAGCCAAAGGCATTAAACTTCGCTTGCATGGATGGGATGTCATTGTCTGCCAGCGGGGTTCTCTACATGTTCCAGATAACACGAGCGGGGAAACATCCTATCAAAGTGGACTCATTGCTCAGCATCTTGAAAGCTCTGCAAGTCAAGAACAAGTTTGAGAGGGTAAACTTTGTGTTCGTTGTACCTTCAGGGCATGAGGAAATGCCCTGCTGGGGACGAGATCAAGGCTTGACATCTCAGGGAGTGAAGGCAAACCAGGAGCAGGAGAGTCAAATGAGGGGAGTAACTCAGTATATCATGATGCTTTCGAAGGAGGATGCGATGCGGAGGCCAAGGGGATTGAGTTTCGCTCCGCAGCATACGTAGTCAATCGTAAGAGCAGCGCCAAGGGAGTAGTTGGAACCTGGGAGGACGCGACAGAAGAAGAGAAGTTTTTGCACTTAGACAGTCGCCTTGCAAGATTGTGCTTCAAAGACTTTAGAATCGTCAGAATTCCTGTTTTGCACATGTAGGCGATCATTTCGAAATATACAAAGTTGCCAGTGCCCAGCAATCTTTGCGTTGTGAGATGAGGACATTCGTCACGACGTGGCGCCTTCCTCAGTGAAATGACTAGACGCTATCCGATAGACTCTTCCACTGACAAACCGTGCTGGCAATACGCAGAAGGAAGTTTGTTTTGCAATGATGGTGTGAGTTGCTGCCGTGACCTGCTTTCAACTCACGTCACTGATTACTCTATGAGCAGGATGTTCAGTTCAACATTTACATGCGGCGAGATAATATCCGACCTCTTGAACATCTGGTGGATCCACACCATTTCAAACCTCGTACCTCAGTTGCCACTGCTTCAAAGCCCCGCCGTTTCTCTTCGATTTGCATCGATAACAATTCTTTGTCGCCCCATACTTGTCAATGTCCACAACCTTGTAGTATTCCATGTGCTAATACAGGTTCACTTCGGTACAGGCTGCCTCAAGAGCGAAGTAAGGCAATGGCACCCTCAGACTGTCGTGTATTCGTGCTTCAAAGATAGGAGCCGCCTACGGCGAATAGGGCGCCCACCTCGTGAGCCTTGGAGGATTTGGACAACTCAAGCACCTCGCGTCATTCCTCTGGGTGCTGATATTGACCCACTTGGAGACGCCAGATCATGGAAAGCTTCCCTGTACTGATCACCCTCCCACGATTCCCTGCCCGGCGGCGCCTCAAAGGTCTGCTCTCCTTCTCCGGTGCAGCTGGTTTGTCACATTTGCCGCAATGGTTTACCTCGCCTGCCTGGGTCACCACAGACGCACAGACGTGATGGAAGAGCTGCTTGCGCTTGCACAACTTGCATGTTTTCAGTTCTGAGTTTGGTTGGTTGGACATGATACACGCCGATGCAAACTTGAAACAAGCAAGACTGGATCATTCGTGTAAAGTGTGGCTGCTTCGAGAAGATGATCGCTGAATCTATCCCAGAGAATGTCTTTATTTTGAATTTTTTCAGGCTCACGACACTTTCTGCTAAGGATTTCTCACATTCTCTTAAAAGTTTTCGCAGCACAACAGAGTGAAAATATTTTACACAGCATAACAGTGAAAAATCCTGATGAGAAAAGAAGGGGCAAATGTATATAAGAAAAAGACACTCAACCCTTATTGAAATGAAGTGTGCGAGGCTGAAAGGTGTTTTAGCAAGCTGCAGGATATACTTCTTTATTGACTGAGTGAAAAAGAAACTTCCTTCACCCGCATGCAACGACAAGTCATCATGGTGAGAGGCTTCGAATCTATTGCTGCTTGAATGTGGATGAGAATTTAATCGTCTAATGTATCCATGTAGATAGACTAAGACCTTTTCTTAGTCTCTGACTTTGAAAGAAAGTTTTGAATTCCGCTTCTCTTACATGGCTGCATGACAGAGAAAGCTGTCTAGGAATGAAGATGTCTTTAGAATACATTGCAAAAGATGAATACACCTTTTCTGCTCTCTTATTCGTTGTTTCAAGCATGAGAGCCGTATGTACGAGGATTCAGAGAGGAAGTATGGTTTACAATGCTGCACCATCAGTTTGCAAATGAGGTGCTTTCATGCACTCCAATCTTGCAAATATGCTAGAAACATTCAAGTATTTGCAGTTCAGATCCTCAAAAGCAACATCTTCACATTGGTTCTGCTTGAGCATGCATTCAAAATGCTCAAGGATCAACATGCTCCACGTAGCTGCGGCGACATGGAAAGTCTGTTTCAACCACAGGATGAGAATCCTACAGCAATCAATGTGGCTTACTAGAGCTACAAGCATACATTGTGCATAATTAGGTTTATTTGCAACTTTTTGATGTATCTCTGCTATGCAGGCACAACGAAGAAACCAATGTGAGGCTTATTGTGCTGACCATTGCGCATGTATTTGATGCTACTTGCGGTTGTCATTGTAATTAGATTGTTGCAAAGAATGATACCTCATGAATGTATAAAGATTTCTGCAATCAGATCACTACCACTTGTGATGTCGATCCCAAGCTTACAGTGAGTCGGAATGGTCTACAGGGGAAGTGATGTTTTCATCATCATTCAACCCCTGCATGCATTCTGCATTTATGTGAAATGAAAGAAGATACAGAAATGCTCTTTAGCATGGCCTCGAATGCAAGACTGAGATCACTTTATTTCACAATAGAACAAATAATACATGTGTGCATACTGTGTTGACGGTTCAAATGTCCGACATCACAGCTAGATAAACGCTCAAAACTAATCCCACGCATCAAGAAATCAACACACTCTGCAAATCTCAGAAGTGGAGACTCTCGACGGTGTTCAAGGCTTAAGATGTCTTGATTGCCTCTGGCGGCATCAGTGTTTACATGCAATCAAACATCCTCACTGCAGTAGGCGAAATGCATGCAGAAATCTTGTGAAACAATCTATGCAATGCTTGATGTCTAATATAACAAGTGAGCTTGACTAATTACGTGGATCTGCAACATGATGCAATCTCCATCAAACAAATCTTCAAGGCATCGCATGTGGAAAATATGCAATTCAAAAATCATTCATCGCAGGTAAGTATCTTATGATTATTCTGAGCTGCCATAAGGTCGGTGTCAAGTCAAAATGACAAGCGATCTCCTACACTGGATTCAAACCTCATGTTTTCATCATCTTGTTCTTCATAATAACCTTTTGAACCATGGATCTCACAACGCCATTGCTGCACACTCTGTTGTCACCGAACGCATCACCACGAACCTAGCGGTCTCAGGTCTCAAACTGTGCTGACTAGAGAGCTTCAAACCTAACAAAGCCTTGCATGCTGAGATCTGATGCTGGCTACAGCAGCGGATGGTCTTACAGCGGCATCGTTGGAGGAGCAGCTTTGGTGCTACGTGCCGGCGTGTAGGGGAGACATGAGTCGGGCGTGTACGAGGTTGAAAACATTTCAACCCTCTGAAATGAAAGTTAAAATACATGTAAAGGCCTAGCAGAAATGATAACTAAACTGCACTACTGGTACTCTTTGGAGGTATCTCTTGCTGCCGTTGAAAACTTGTTTGAATTGC